ACCAACAACAGTCGTTAAACTAACGGTAAGGACTTCGTGTCTTCATTCAGCGGTATCACTGGTGCAAATACATCAGGAAGCATGGATGAAAATACAGTGCCGTTCAGTATTGTGGAGCGTAGAAGACAAGCACATTAGGCCTATGCATAACTAGTAGGGAAACATTGAAATAAAAAATAGAACTACTTTTACCAATTTGCATGATTTGTATGTGCCTGAAATGCAGGCTGGATACAGCAACGTCAAGTATTCTAAGTTTCAGTTAACGGAAACGCCTTTTTCTCCATTAGTTAAGTAAGCGTTTTTTTATTATATATATACAAGTTCAACTAGTATAAAGTACAAAAACCGACCTCTGCATCAACACTCACATAGAGTCAAAAATCAGAGTAAGTCATGTTAGCGGTCACCTAAACTTTGATGGCTTGTCAAAAATATATGTTACATTGAAAAAGCTTGTTGCAACTATGTTCGACCTGTATGCTGACCCTACACACCTGATGACGGTCTTTAACAACATTACATTTCAACCAACTCTAAACAGTGCCTTCAACCTGTCAGAGTCTCGTTAGGAAGAGTAAGGTACCCTGGAGGCATGTCTTCTACAAGGGGATATCAGGGATAGATCTATAAGATCTGTTTATTAGATGATTGATTGACATTTCCATGGCAAAAGTGGGCAACTTAATTGATCGCAACTCAAAAAAACCTGAAAGATTTGTTTTGGCATACATTTTTAGCCCATACTTATCCATTAACTTTTGTGGAAACAGTGAATAAAAGAGGTCTCAAAAACTTCGATTCTATAAAGGCATAGGAAGTAATAATGCACTGCTTCATCCAGTCCATCTCAGATGCTCTAACACCAAAATTTACAGACGCGCCGTCAAATGAAGGAGACTTGAGAAAACTTCTAGACAGCATAATACAAAACTTCATACTTGATATGAGGGACAAACCGAATAGGGGTTATAAAAGAAGAAAGAACGGAGTGATAATGTCGACTTACAACCTTTACTTTATTGTGTTTGTACCCAACGCGGTATTTTACGCAATATCACTTTAAACGTTGTCTCATTTTATAATCTATGACAACTAGGAAATCGGGATTAAACTTTTCCATAACTGTTTGTTTATTATCACTGTCAATAAAATTTCGATGTTCATGTAATTTCACTTAAATAATAATGACCGAAATAAATTTGATGCTGTGAACAAATTACCATTCTCACTAATGCCCGTTTTGTTGTGGGGAAAAGTTAAATTCTGAAGTATTTAAGGTAGGTTTAGAGTACATAAATCGTAGCTGCATAAGATATTTGAAATTTAAGTGAAGCTACAACGAAAAATGACAATTACCTAATAACCCGATTTTAGGGGAACTTCTATTCATTTTGAGTCAATTTTAGAGAAGCCGCAATTAAAAACGTTGAAAAAATGGCACAAAACTTCAAAGTATTCCAAGAACTGAGGAAAATCACCAAAGTGTTATGAGATTCTGGAGAAATATTGGAGAAAAACAAAGATATTTTGCAGAGAACTTCCGAGGTTTTTGTGCCACTTCTAAAAACTCTCCCAAACACGGACGAAAGTTTTCCTAAAAGTGGGAGATATCTCCTATATTGTCCAATTGGACAATATTAATATGCGACAATTCCTAATTGGAAATAGGAGGAAAATTTTCTAGGCGTTTGTTAATCCTGAAAATTTATTTGAACTGAAAAAAGTGTTAAACAAGCCTACAAACATATGAAAACTGTTAAGAACTATTAACATTTAGTGATTACCACGTTACTGAGTGGGTCAATTAAAAATGTCGATGTTAACATGTTTTCCTTACTCTAGGTAACAACAAACCTTTAATGTAGTGAAACAAATACCTGTTATTCCAAGACATGAGTGATTAATCTGAAAAGTTATACAATCCTTACAGTTTTTACATTTCAAATATACTTCTTTGCAGACCATAGTAGGCTACTGTACTATTTAATATCAAATATCTTTGTAACGAACTTGCATAGATCGATTGATTACTTTCCGCTCGCATTGTGTTGTTTCAGTACAGTTTCAGATGTTTAGTAATGTCCAACGAGTGACATTTTAGTCGCTCGACTACACTAATTCTGTTCAGTTCGGTGGTCAATTGTGAATTTTCATATTCATACATCAAACACAGCTGGTCGAAGAGGAAGATGGTAATCCATGAGTTAGTTTGGCAAACTTCCTCTCAGCACTATCCACTGAGGGTATTGTGGACACTTCGTCTAGAGGAGCATTCTGAATGGGGCAACTCTTAATGCAAAGAGTGAGAGCGAGTCTGGATTGTAATTCTGTTTTGCAATTTTTCGGAGTTTTTCTCGAGGAGCATGGTGGTGGTGTTCAGGTGATTTTATGTACTTAATATTCTGTATGCCACTTTCAGATCACCACTTTTTCACATATAGTGCCTAAAATCAACTTTGATTTCCATAAGGGACTCCTTTATGAGATTTCTTTCATTATTTTTATTCGGACAATATACATCTAGTGACGATCAAGCTAAGACCACTAAGACTGCTGAACAAACAGAATAAGAAAAGTTTAATGTACATACTTCACCATTATGCTAACAGTTTCAGGAGCTTCGAGAAGCTAGTTCCAAGTATTTTGACGCCTAAAAAACATACGAAAGCATCATGGCGAAGAAATGATATGGGGTTAAAACGGTAATAACCCTAGTATTCTAGGACGATGAAGTTTTTAAGAAACATATTGACGAATAAATTGTCTTTGTAGACAGTCTAGCGGAATTAAAGAAATGAACAAACAGCGGATGTGGGTGGGGTGAATTAAAAGCACAATCCGATTCTTAACAAGCGACCTTTTGAGTCAAGTAGAATATCATGTCGGTCAAAAAGAGAATATGTCAGAGATGTAGTAATGGCTGTCTAAAAGCATGCGAGAAAGAGAAGTGTGCAAGAACTATGTGGCCCTACAAAGCCAGAGGGAAGCTATAGTGAATCAAAGTGATAAATCGGAAAAAAGGGAAAACCAGAGCTGAGGAACAGGTTGATGGAGAACTTTGAATAGCTCATTAACAGACCAACGTCATTAAACCTGCTAAATACTGGAGCGGCGAACAGACTAGCCCGCAGATGCCATTTTGTTAACAACCAAAGACATCATTAAAGCCATCAGACAAAGGTCGAGTAAAGAGTCAACGGAACCAGACGACACTCTGGCTGAAGTACTGAACTCCGATGCGGAAACAACCGCATTCTTTTCATGAAAATGTCCAGTGTCAGTAGACCGGAAACGTGTAGTACATTTAAATACCTGGGAATGAAGTTAGTGACTGTGAAAACTACGGAGTGATTACCCTACTGTCAGTGTGAGGCATATCTTTCACTTTTTCTCTTCTTGCTAGTTACTGACTGGATAACAGTGGCTTCAGGAGAAGCAAGTAACTTGGTGGACACCATAAATGCAAAAAAATAGATTGAACGTTGCAGATAATTTGACATTTTATCTCATACACTGCAGCAAATGTAGGCAAAAACTACCAGTGTGGCATAGACTTATACAGCAGTAGGTTGTGACATTCGAAAAAGGTAATGTAAGATCCTTAAGAAGAACAAAGCCCGTATAAATTAAATCATTACTGATGACAAGGCTCCGGATGACATATACACCTACACGTACCCGGGCATATTCATTGAAAGACGAATAGGATCTACTGTATTTATCAAAATTTCTATAGTTCTGAATTTTGGAACTCTAGAAAACTGTCGCTCAAGACTCAAGACAACTTTCAATACTGACACCAAGACAGGCCTGACGAAAAGAAGCAGTGTATTTATAGACAGCTGTTTATCCAGAACACTTAATGCCCATTTGCTGGAGACTACCAGTACTAAAACCAATGAAAAAGAACAAACCATCCGTCGGCTCACCAGACGAAAGAAAATACACTAGAGTTGAGAGCTAAAATCCCTGATGAAATTGTTGAATTCCTCATAAGGAAAGACAAAAGTCACGATAATTATTGAAAACAGGAAACAGTGGGTCAAATAAAACACTACGCGGAACTTGGAAGTTAGTTGATACAGATTTACAATAGACGTTGAATACCAAGGTGTTTACGCATAAAACATCATAAATAAGGACGGAAAATGGTCTTCATCTTTAGTTGCGAGATGGGGAAATATACCTGTCATTATATGACGTACTGTCAACACGCGTGACGGAAAAACTGAGGGTTTTTGATTAGAAAATATTTGATGCCCAGTAGTATCTTAACAAGTCACATGAAAGTGGTCATTATTAACAAGTGTTCGACGACGTCACACATGAACGGCATACACAGTTTTTCCTCAGTTTTACAACAATGAAATGGCAAAATGATGTATGATAGAAATGCTGACAAACGGAACTGTCTCACATTTGATGTAGGAAGTCACCTTCACTTTCCTGATGTGCTGTCCGTACGTGCTCATATCCAGTTGTATCCGCAGTAGTAGACTAACTAAAATGTCAGAAGTACAAACGATGATAACAGTAAGACTTTAATGAATGACCTACAAAGTCATATTCCATTCTTTGAATGCTTACTTAAATCGGTGAGATAAAGGGATGACTACTGAACGAGGCACACTTTCGTCTCAATTGTATTCGATCAACGACCTATGATAGAGCGCATTAACAGAGTTACATTAACTAGACAAGACACGTAACGAAAAGTTCAAAGCGACCAGCTCCCACAAAACAAAACAACATACCCTAAACAATAATCTGTCCACAAATTACAATCAAGTTCTGCAAAAGAAGAACGCCATACATATCGGAAAATAACTGCGTGCCTCTTTAACAATGCAAGGGGATTTAGGAGCGAAATCGTAGAGGTCATACACATTGTTCCCATCTCAAGCTGAAGATCATAGTGTAAGATCCATTTTGAAGGTTTTATGTGTTGGTGAAAATCCCTCCATGTATATACTTGTACTTTGTTTCTATTGATTCCCTTAGTTGTACATTGTTGTATTTTGATTACATTTGAGTTGTTAATACTTGTATTTTTATAATAGTTTTTGTTTTTCTTACGCATTCACTAAGTTTGTGTTTCTTCCTGAACTGCATCTGTGTTGTTTTACTTGACACTTGTTCTTGGCGGTAGCCATATTGATTTGTTCCTCCTGTTGTGTGTGATCTATCCAGCCAGGATAGAATAACGTTGATTTGTTGTGATTGGTAATTTTCTTGCATCCTTTATCAACTTTCTTATTTATTGTAATTTAGATTTGATCAATTGAACAATTATTGGTTGGATAGCTGAGTGGTTATATTTGTTTAGGTAATAATGTACACTTAAATTTATGATAAATTATAGAACCGCTATCTTACCCAATTACTTTGTTTTGGTTTCAATCGGGCGAGGGCGCGTATCTAACTCATCCAGACAGCTGTCCAGCAGTCCAAACGTAGTTTGGATCTTACAGTTCTAAACAAATAATTTGGTCGAATTCGTTTGGCTTACGTTTCGTTGGTTCCAATCATCGTCTCTGGGAATATTTGGTCATTCGCTTGCGATGCCAAACAATCGTCGAAGGAAATTAAGTCCAAGGCTTGTGGATGCTAAAGGAGATGAACAAAATGATGGATCCCCTCAATCAAGGCAAGTGCCTTATGATGCTTCTATGTGTCATGGTTCATATTCTAATAGGGACGATTGTAATTGTAGTGCATCTAGTTGTGATATAATGGCAGATGGCATAGAAAACCTTAGTTTAGACGTGAAGCAAGCAAAAAGCGTAAGGCCTACGGCGTTTTTCATAGGTCCAGAGTTACCAAAGGTTGAGTTAAGTTATTTCGACGGTCAACCAAGAGGTTACTGGAAGTTTTTAAGGGAGTTTGAGACCTATGTGGAATCAAGGGTCAAGGATGATGGTCAACGCTTGCTTTATTTGATACATTATTGTAAGGGTAAAGCGAAAACAGCCATTGAGGGTTGTGTTATGTTGGAAGCCTCTTTTGGTTACAAGAAGGCCAAGGAAATTCTAAAACGGTTGTTCGGACAGGCGCATGTAATCGCTCGGGAGACTTTAGAGGACTTATTCAAAACTGCAAATGTTGATTACAGTGATCCTGAGCAACTAACAAATCTAGCTATTAGGATGGAAAATTGTTCTATGGTTTTGAAACAGATGAAGTATACTGCCGACTTAAATTCTCTAATTACCTTAGAGAGAATAGTAGGACTCTTACCTCAAGTTATGCAAGCCCAGTGGGCGGACTGGGTGGATGAATTGACTGAAGATAATAGAGAACCAACCTTTGACGAGCTTACCCAATTTATAGCATCCCGCGCGAGAGTAGCTAATAGTAGGTTTGGACGGTTAGCGAATCGTCCGAGAAAGGGACACAACTTAAAGACAAATTGTCACTTGCAATTGGAGCAGGAGAATAATTCGAAAGAGAAAGCTAAATGCAGTGTGTGTTCCCTGGACCATGCTATTTATAAATGTCCAAAATTTTTAGCGCTTACCGTTCAAGAGAGATGGTCTCAAGCAAAAGTTAATGGCATCTGTTTTGTCTGCCTTAGGCAAGGACATAAGGTAAATGAATGTAAGATGACAAGGCTCTGTAACGTTGACAGTTGTAAGAAGAGACATCACGTTCTGCTGCACACTGACTCGACAAGCAACGTCGTAAATGATAAGCCGTCATGCTCGGAATATAGGAAAAGAGTTGTTAATCATATCAGTAAGGTACAGACACTGGAGAACGAAATACGTAAGCTTTATGATGAGTTTTCAGATGCTTATTCAAGTGATAAATCATTATCAGTAGACGACAAGGCGGCTATAAAAATTGGGGAAGGGAGCACGCACTTCGGCAACGGTCATTTTGTAGTTTCTATACCGCGGAAAAAGAATCCAAATATGAAAGTGGATAATTATGAAGTAGCAAACCGTAGATTACAAAGTTTGAAAGGTATATTGTCGAAGGACGTCAGCCTGAACATCAGGTACATCAAAGGTATTGAAAGTAATTTTACTAAGACTTATGCGGAGAGGGTCCTTGAAATATATTTGCAGCTTAATTATCGCCCTCGAGGGTATTTACCTCATCATGCAGCGTTAAACATGAAAAAACCAGAGGAACTTAGAGTGGTCCTTGATTGTGCCGCCGAGTTTGCAGGGGTTTCCACAAATGATATGATTTATCAAGAACCCGATACCACCGCTGAGTTAAGGTGTATATTAATAAGTTTTCGCAAAGAGGCAGTTGCAATCCCTGCAGATGTTGAAGAAATGTTCATGCAATTGAAGGTCTCTGAGTCTGATCGAGGAGCTTCAAGATTTCTGTGGTGGCAGGAGGGAGACATGTCGAGGGAACCATCTGAGTTTCAAATGACATCTCATCCATTTAGTGCCATATCACCGCCGTTTCGTGCGAACTTTGCCTTCAATAAGATGGCCCAAATATTCTCTGACGGTTATGATGGTTATGGCGTAAGTGCTGTTAAGAATAGTTTCTATGTTGATGATTGCTTGATATCCTTTCCACGTTGTGATCAAGCAAAGAGTTTCGTTAAGCAGATAGGTGAATTATTACGTAGAGGAGGTATACAAAAAATGACTGATCTTGAGCTTTGGTTCAAATGTCCGACCTTAATGCATGGCGAGTTTTGTACAGCAATCACTGACTGTCCGGAACCTACTCCTGAAGATAGTAAGTTTAGAAAAACTGCTGTGGTTAACTTGAGTAGTATAAAGTACAACATGTCACCTATTCTCTCTTATTATGCTGAGTGGTTGAAATTAGCCAGGGCCGTAGCATGGCTTAGAAGGTTCATAGAATTCCTGATGGTGCTTCGTTCATCGAGTTGTGAAGGATCCGTTCCTCTAAGAGGTTTAAAGGTCAAGGAGCCTGACATTGCCAAGGGTAAGAATTTATTGATGGTTCAAAAGGAAGTGTGTGGAGAATTATTTAGTGAATTTAGAAACAGAAGTAAAGTAGTAAGTCATAATGATCTGAAAGGTTTATCACCGATATTGCTTGATGGGATACTCTGTGTTACAGGTCGTCTAAGCTACTCAGAATTATTAAATGCTTTTGAACGTCCAGTAATTTTACCCAGTCGACACTTAGTGACGCAAACGATAATTAGACATTGTCATAAAGAACCAAGACACATAGGAAGGTCATTAGAAAAAGGGTATGGATATGTGTTTTCTTGTTTGCAAACATGGGCAGTACATATTGAAATGATGTGTAGTTTGATTACTGATTCATTTATAATGGCCTTATTACGTTGTATTGGAAGAAGAAGGAAGCCTCCGGAGATTTACAGTGACAGTGCGTCAAGCTTCGTGTGGGCAGTTTCTGAGTTAAGGAGGTTTGTGCAACAGTCGAATCAGCAGAAGATAAATAGTGAATTGTCAGCGAGGCCCTCATCCAACAGCATGGGTGGAGTTTGGGGAAGAGTGACTAAGTCTATACCACGAGTGTTATTGTTGAACACCAGAGAGCAAGTGAAACAGGTCTCCTTGAGGCTTCGGATTAGTCTTTGTTGTTATTAATGTAGGTAGGTCGAGTAGGCGTACTGTTGTAAGTCCTACTCGTTCCTATAGTGTGATATGTTATATAATGAACCATGACCGTAGGCATCAAGGTAGCTTGTGTGGTATGGAGGGATTTTGGGGGCCGGTGTAAGATCCATTTTGAAGGTTTTATGTGTTGGTGAAAATCCCTCCATGTATATACTTGTACTTTGTTTCTATTGATTCCCTTAGTTGTACATTGTTGTATTTTGATTACATTTGAGTTGTTAATACTTGTATTTTTATAATAGTTTTTGTTTTTCTTACGCATTCACTAAGTTTGTGTTTCTTCCTGAACTGCATCTGTGTTGTTTTACTTGACACTTGTTCTTGGCGGTAGCCATATTGATTTGTTCCTCCTGTTGTGTGTGATCTATCCAGCCAGGATAGAATAACGTTGATTTGTTGTGATTGGTAATTTTCTTGCATCCTTTATCAACTTTCTTATTTATTGTAATTTAGATTTGATCAATTGAACAATTATTGGTTGGATAGCTGAGTGGTTATATTTGTTTAGGTAATAATGTACACTTAAATTTATGATAAATTATAGAACCGCTATCTTACCCAATTACTTTGTTTTGGTTTCAATCGGGCGAGGGCGCGTATCTAACTCATCCAGACAGCTGTCCAGCAGTCCAAACGTAGTTTGGATCTTACAATAGATATAATACCAGCTTGACTCCTTTCTAACGCCATTCAAGCAACAATAGGGAACAGCCACCTCGATGAAACCACATTTAACATGGTTATAAATGATATACTACTGAGAGGCAGGGACATTCCTTGCCTTCACCACACAGGGAAAATTAAACAACAATAAGAAAGCAGCTTCAACACTCTCCAGAGCCACAAGGGTTGTGGTGGCTGACACTAGATGATCGTTGGAAGATTGTGAGGAATATTATCCAAAAGCGATAACGCATGTCAAACTCAAATGGGAAGTCAGGAGGACCAATAAATTAGTTATGCTCGGAATAAGTGAATCTCACTGAACCCTAGCTGGACAAAAAATACTGGCTACTAAGGCGATGCTATGAAGGAAAACGTGCTCCTCACATACGTGGAGTCACACTGATGCTGTCCAAAGGAACACTAATACCAGTAATAGGATGGATGTTCCATGGATCATCAAAGTGTTCCTCAAGACAAAGAAGTAGGGGATCACAATGGATGTTTTTTAGCGTTATGTATCCACTAATGAAAATCAAGATGATGTTGATCGGTCGTATTAGAAGCTCCGTTCGATTGCATAGAAAAGGCCAGAAAAAGACTTAATTACCCTGATGAGAAACCCAAACTCTATTGGTAACCCTCCTGCTATTGATGGAAGAAACCAGATAATTATTGAATGGGTCTTTATTTAGATCTTCACGCAGTCACAATGGAGCGTGGGATTATTTGTTCAGACAAACAAAGCCTCTTAATATTCAATATAAGACAATAGGAAGTATAACGCCTATACAAAATAAGGAGGTGAATGAATACTTGAACTATACTGTTTTCGCACCTGCTTCGTTGTTTGATATCAACTCTTAACCAACCAACCTAAGCTGTTACAGGTTCACGGAAGGTGTGAGAACAAAAAGGAAAACCCTGAATGCCGGTAGTTACTCCAAGTTTAGTTTGTTTTCGAAGGCTCGGGGAGCGGTTGTGAAAGCTTCTTGTTCTCATTGAAATCAAGAACAGTTAGAGTGCAAGGTCTAAATCAAACACAACAATCATTTAACATTCGACATACGATAACAGAAAGTAAATTTTTTACATCAAATAAAGAAATAAATGAATACTCAAGCCACAAATTTTTACTATTGTCAAGAGGTACTCAGCTAACTTTGAATCCTCAAGATGAGCTGTTAAAACTGACAATGCTTCAGATAACCACCTGGTGGAGTTCAAACTAAATTGAGACTAAAAATATACTGAACAACAGGAAATATGGCATTTAAAACACTTAACAATACTTTAAGTCCAGGTGCTGACAAAGTCTTACAGAACCTTTTACAACAAGATGCATCCATTGTAAAAAGAATGAAGAAGCAGTTGATTAAACGATTCAGGTGGTTCAAGGCAGTAAGAAGCACCCACATAAAGTGTATTTCTATCGATATGCTAAGCCAGATTCAGGAAATGAAGAAGACAGCAATAAGCAACAGCCAAACAAAAACAGATAAAGCCAAGGCAAGTCAAGACCTAACACATTTGACTAAAAAAGTAAGCAAAGGGGAGAATTGAAACTGATACCAGATATATGTGGAATACATGGCAATGACAAAGTAGAGAGCTAAAAAAGACGCATGAGAAAACTATACGGTGGAATGAGGAACCAAGCAGGAAAATAAAGTAATCCAGAACGACCAGTCAAGAATAAAGAAGGCACACTAGTCATTGACATTCAAAAACACCATGACACGTGAGCAGAGCCCTTGAATATGCCAGCCTCAATGAACAACACAGGACAACGAAGCAGCATCTACGGATTTTCCTACAGTTGCTACCCTTTAACAACTGACAACATCAGTATGGATATTAATCAAATGAAGTACGGGAAAGGATCAGGACCACACGACATAGAGGCTGAAGCACTGACTTACTTACTTACTTACACCTGTTACTCCTCGTGAAGGAGCATAGGTCGCTCACCAGCATTCTCCATCCAACCCTGTCCTGGGCAATACTTTCCAGCTCCTTCCAGTTGTAATTCATCCTTTTCATATCTGCTTCTATTATCCGACGTAATGTGTTCTTTGGTCTTCCTCTTTTCCGCTTCCCTTCAGGATTCCAAGTTAGGGCTTGCCTCGTGATGCAGTTTGACGATTTGCGTAATGTATGTCCTATCCATTTCCATCGTCTTTTCCTAATTTCCTCTTCAGCTGGAAGTTGGTTTGTTCTCTCCCACAGAAGGCTATTGCTGATGGTATCCGGCCAATGGATGTTGAGTATCTTGCGTAGACAGCTATTTATAAATACTTGTACTTTCTTGATTGTGGTCGTTGTAGTTCTCCAAGTTTCAGCTCCATACAGTAGAATTGCCTTGACGTTCGTATTGAAGATTCTCACTTTGATATTGGTTGAAAGTTGTTTTGAGTTCCATATGTTCTTCAATTGTAGGAATGCGGCCCTTGCTTTGCCAATCCTCGCCTTTACGTCTGCATCTGAACCTCCATGTCTATCGACGATGCTTCCCAGATATGTGAAGGATTCTACATCTTCCAGAGTTTCGCCATCAAGAGTGATTGGATCGCTGAAGTCAGACATAAAAGTAACTCCAAATACGCTTCAGATTCTGTCCTCGAAGATCTGGAATTAAGAACAAGTGCGAACGGATTGGTAGTTGGAGAACTACAGAGGCGTAACGCTACTATCAGTACCAAGAAATGCATTCAACAGTGTCTTTGAAGCGAATGAGGGATTCAGTAAATGCAGAATGTTGAGATCAACAGGCCGGATTCTCTAAAGATCAGTAGTGTATAGACCAAATCATGACAAAAGTGATCATCGTTGAACAATCAATTAAATGGAACTCGTTACCATACATCAAACATCCTTAACCAAGAAAAAAACGTCTGACACTGTGGATAGGGAAGCTCTACAGAACCTTTTTCGACGTTATGGTGCACCTGAGATCGTAGGCACCATACGGAAAGTACTGATCAAATTACACTTGATAAAGAATATCTGGAAGAGTGGGATACGTTCATGTACCTGGACAGCATCGTCTGATAGAAAAGATCTGATTCAGATGTAAGCTCACAAATTGATAAAGCAAGGGAAGTACTCTTACTATCGAAAAATATCTGGAACTCAAAATGTCTGTCGAGCAACACCAACTTCAGAATTTTCAATAAAAACGTGGAGACAGTTCTGTTGTACGCAGTTGAAATCTGAAATTTACTAAACGTGCCATCAAACGTGTATGGCTATTTATAAACAGTCGTTTGCTCACGATACTCCAGATCTGTTTATCGAAAACCATCAGCAACAATCTAAAGTCAGAGAACAAACCAGCCTCCAGCCGACGTGGAAGTTAGGAAGGTTGATGTGACGCATATCACTTGAACCATCAACCGGATCACGATGCTAGGAATCCAGAAGGCAAAAACGAAAGAACTAAACTAATGAATATATTGGGTGAGTAGTTGTAGGTAGACACCAAAGAAATAAATAACGCTTATAAACAAGTGGAGAGGAATGCTCAGGACAGAGTTGGTTGGAGAATCCTGGTTGTCGGCGTGTGTTTCACAAGGGATAATAGGCTTAAGTAGGCTGATAGGTGAAGTAACAGTGAATACTTTATCAACCTAAACGTAGGTAACGTTCAGAAATAGTTAAATTCAATACTAATAACAAGCAATACTGAAAACTATTCAATTCTTATTCTAAAATTTGCGTTTAGAACACTATTTACGTTAGAAAGAATTTCGTGAACATAAGCGAAATTATTGTAGTTAGAAGTTGATACTAGAGCTGTTGTCTCGTGGGCAATTTTCGAAATTCATCAATTCTTCCATTTTGTCAATCGTGCATATCTTCTCTACCCTATGAAATAGTGCTCTGATGGACGGTTTCTTGTAATTGGTTGGACAAAAATTAATGAAATTCAGGTTAAGACTATTCCAAGTGCTTTGTCGATAAACTTAATATTGAATCGTCCCGTCTTTTCTCTAGTGTATGGCAGTATCAAGAAAACTGAACATTTCGACAGAAAACTAATATCTATAAATTCAAACATTAAAAGTGATGGCACCTCATCCTTGATCAGCAAGGGAGTCAACACTGCATTAGCCAGAATTTGTCCGTCAGCCAAATTATTAATTCTTTATAAAATAAATAAAATAACCCAGGCGAAGATTGATAAGCACTTCTTTCATATTAAAACCAGTTACGTCTATAAATTTACGTGTATCTGTCTAAGCGACTACAATAGCTGAAGAGAATGGAGGGCATTTCCAAGATTTATTTTACATGTTTCAGAAATCTTTGTGACTAGCGAAAAGACGAGTTTAAAGAGTGCAATCACCAAACACGTGATGAATACAAGATATCATGTCAATTCCTGGAAGGTTTTCAATGTGATTAATAAACAGCCAAACTGCAGTCTTCCGAAGTTTGCTGAAACCTTTGCTATCAGTCGTCAAAAAATTGATTTGTGTGTTCAAAAGCAGACAGTTATTAACACTTCCTTGCGTTGGTGCTATATATTGTCTCATTTCATCTAGTACTTTTCCAACTCCTTCCTTCACTTAATTAGATCATTATGTCTTCTTATTTCGACAATCTTCTAGATCAGTAATCTTACTGTATTAACTGAGTTTTACTCATTTTATCTTCACCAGTGTTTACTCACTATATAATCACTTGTTTACTACCCTTTAGACTCTTGTTGCAGTCAATGTAGTCGAATGTTTTTTACATAAAGCAAATATTTACGACATTTCGCTCAGTTGATTTAATTTATCTACATTCTTACTGCATTAAACTGATGAGTCTCGAAAATAATTTCCAACTAAAACCTTCTATGTAAGTAGTTTAAACTTTTTAATATCATGTTGTAAGCAGGTGACAAGAACCAAACGAAATAAAATGAATTCATGCCGTTCTGCTCAAATCTTTGCACTTGCTCTCTTCGAAATGATAAACTGAATTATGTATGAAATAAGGG